GGGGGGGAGGGTGATGATGGGGGCTTGGGGTTGGAGCATCTTTGTTTGTGGTTCTTTTTCTGTCAGTTAACTAACTAACTAGTATTGTACGATGGGAGCGGGGTGGGGGTTTGTCTGTGTTTGGGAAGTGAAGTTGAAGTTGGGGTATTTATATTTCTATTTCTATTTATATTGCATGGTAAATTGTTGTTGTCGTTTGCTGCTGCTGCATTCTGGGTCACATGCTGTGGTGTTTTTATCTTACTGACTTACACACTTCTGAGTTGAGCTAATTCATTTATTTAGTGGTTTCTGGGGTTGAAATTGGGGACTGACCGGGAAATGCCCACTAATTAGTGGCTGGATTCCTAGCGTGAAATTCAGTAGGTAGCATCGAATCCTTACAAGTGGCCTGGATTGAATCGCTCTTCAGGACCGGCAAGCCCTAAACCTAACGGGCCATGTCAAGGGCTGGTCCGTGGAATGCGATTCTGATTCTGATTGCGAAGAACCACATTAATCTATGGGAATTTAGCTGTATCGTATCGTATCGTATAGTATAGGTATAGAGATTTCCCTCACTGTGTCAATGGATCAAGAATTCTCAGGACACTACGCAGTTCATACTCAATATGGTCGGTAATAGACGGTCTGGGGCTCTAAGGGCGACTCGGGGGCGATTCAATATGCATTGCACTCGTTTCTGACGGCCAATGACACCGTAATGGCCGCTACAAGACCATTTACGGAGTATGACCTTCTCATGGTCCCTGCGAGGAAAACCAGAAGGAAATGCAGTGGGGTGAATTCCCCTTGCTGGTTTGCATTGCCCAGTACCGAAGGACGACATCCTCCGGAGGAAGATCATGGATGCGACTACTAGTGAGGTACTTGGTGATAGCGAGACAAAAGTCAGCACTAGTCAACTCAATCCGACGCCCGATACCCATGCAAGACACGTCACCAAGGGCACCCTGATTGTATCTCCACGGGCCCCTCTCGTGGCCCACCAAACCCTAGAAAGATCGACGGAACAAAAAGCCTGAGATTAAGAAACTAGAGGAATTAAAGAACAAACCAACTCCCCCCAAGTCCACTTCGATACACGTTACAATTAAATTCTCCCTTCGATTATTGAACTCAACTGGATTGAATTCAAAATGCCCCCCACCACCCTGGCCATCTTCGACTTCGACGGCACCCTCTTCGACACCCACGAGTCCATCTCGCAAACCATCCAACTGACCTTCGAGGCTCTCCTCCCCACCCACGCGCCTCCGCAACCCGAAGTCCACCGCCTAATTGCCAGCGGCGCCGGCCTCTCCGACACCTTCCGCGCCCTCCATCCGGACCCCGCCACGTTCGCCCTCCACGAAACCGCCTGGATCGACAAATACCGCGCCCTCTACGCAACCCACGGCCAGCTCCTCATCAAAGCCTTCCCCGGCGCCCAGGCCCTCTTGGCCGAGCTCCAGGCCCACACCGTGCCCATCGCCATCGTCAGTAACAAGGGCGTGGCCGCGGTGAAGACGGCGCTGGAGAGGAACGGGCTGGCCGGGTATGTGCCCGAGGACCTGATCGTCGGGGACAAGACACCTGGGGCGCAGCGGAAGCCGGATCCCGCCAGCTTTGTGGACGTCCTGGTGCCGGTCTTGGAGGGGAAGTTTGGCGTAAAGGTGGCGGCGGACGGCGTGCTGGTGGTGGGGGATACGGTGGCCGATATTCAGTTTGCGAGGAATATTGGGGTAGAGTATGTTGGTGTCGCTATGGGTATGGGGATAGGGCGGCGTGCGAGGGGTTGGGGCCCGATTATGTGGTGGATTCGTTGGGGGAGGTGGTGGGCATTATCAAGGGTTGATTTGGGGGGGGGGGGGGTTTCTTCTGGAATGTATGTGGCATTTTGTATAGAACATCATGAGAATGGAGGCAAGAGAAAGCCCATATGCAGATAAAGAGTGTATCGTCCAGTATTCATCCAAATCCCATGCAAAACGCCCGCGCCATGCTTCGTCACATTGAGTATCATAAGAAGAGTAGCGCTGCTACCGAAAGACGGACCCTGCTTTCACCGTTTCCCTACCACTTGCTTCTTCGCTTTATCGTAGTTCAGCACCTTCCGTCGCCGGTGGGTTTGCGCCAGCTTCCATCGGCAGTACAGAACCAATGCATCTTTCAGCAGCACAAAGGCGCAGCCGCCAACCACACTTCGGCCCCATCGCGTCTGTAGAAGTCCCGGTCGGCTGCGTTCCAACGCGGACGGCGCCGCAGTCCATGCTTTCGGGAGGACGTACTTGAGGAGCCCGCCCATCGACGCGGATATGGCCGGAAATGCGAGAGCCCCGAGGATGATATCAGCAAGGTTGCTCGTTTCATTGATCAGGTCGTCGCGTCGACCGAGTCCCATCTGGCCATTCGGAGCAGCGCCCTGGTCTTGATCCCCGGCCCCATTGTTGTCGCCCATCCCCACTTGCAATTCCAAATCGATTTCCATTAGGATATGGCCATTGCCGTCATCCCGAGGCGGGTCGGCTTCCGGATGTTCGGGAGGCGCGTTGTCGTCGAACTCGTTGACATCCGATTGCCGGGGCTGCACCTCCGCGATCCATCTCCTTTCTAACTTGCCAAATAGCCTTTCATAAATGGTGCCATAGAAACTTTTGACATAGGGCAGAGCCGCAAACGTCATCGCGGCGCTAGGTGGCCAAAGATCGAAATCGGGATCATGACTGGGATTATGTGTGGCGAAGAACAGTACTGGGATCGCGGGGAGAAGCCCTTCCGCATAACGAGTCCGCGAGAAGATCAACACCAGTGGGATGAGCGGCAGCCCCAGGTTGAGACCGGAGTTCCATGATCCATCCACGCCCTCTTCCAGGATTTGCCGGGCATCTTCCGGACCGAAAACAAAATACATCGAATAGACGCCGTGCGCACAGCATCCAGCCCAGACCGTGCCCGCCAGGGTGAACACCATACCCGGAAGAACCAGCCGGCCAGCAACCCGTTCCAACATCCGAACCGTGTCAACGATGTAGCTGCGTGGGCGCGACACGACAATCTCGGATTTACACTGGGGGCACATCATCTTTGCGTTGCGGCCGTTTCGCTTTCGGGATCGGGGGTTTTCTAAGTCGGCCAGCCAATCCAGTAGGCAGGCTTCGTGCGCCGTCAAGGCACATGGACACGGAGAGCGCCATTCGGCATTCAGGGGAGAGTCCTCGGTCTCGTCGGTGTAGCAAATCCAACATTTACGGGGTTCGTCATTCGATGTATCGACGGGGTTGGAACTCTGAATTGGAGATGCACCGGAGACGTTGCCTTCACCCAATGACGGCTTATTGAGAAAGACGGTCTCATTGTCCTCCATCGATGCCGTTGTGGACGTAGATGGTTCGGGACTCGATGTTCGTTCGTCCCTGGTGGAAGCGTTATCGGAAGATCGCGGTCTGCCTGCGGAGGCCGAGTAGCCCGAGATTGACTCCATAGTTTAGTTGCTTAAAGATGAGTCAAATGACGAGAAACGTTGATCGTACTACTGGGGTGTAAAAAAAACAAACACCACTGTACATCCTGCGAGGGAGTATCGACTGAGGATCATCGAATCATGGAGGTAAGACAGGGGAAAGAGTTTGCGGCGAGACGATGGGGTAGGTTTCAGTCACCAGCAGCCAGCTCTTCGTTATTGGAACTGCCACTAAGCAAGCTGCTAGTTGCTTCGGGTGCCAACCGCGGCTTTGGAGAGGCGAAAACCGCCAGTCCGCACCCCCGTCACGTGGGGCCTTGCGGGGCGCTGGAGTCGCGGAATAAAAGTTGACCCGGGGCAGATTCATCCTTTCTCGGCCTAGTCCCATCACATCACTCTCCACTATCATTGCGTCCATCTTGTCATGATCAGATGAAGAGATCTACGGGTGTACCTTGTATCCAACGTATGCTTTTCTACATTAGTATTATGCTACACATTATGGCAACATCATATCCTTCCGATCCCCTTTAGTGCAAGACCATCAATGCTGCCTTGACTATGTTATAATCCCCGACATTACCGTGCCACATTCGTCTTACACCTGACGTTTTCGAGCTCGAACCGAGGCATTGTCGGTCTGGATGCCCGTCGCCTTGGGGTTTACCTCCGCTTGGGACATGCGTCGGAGAGTTCGGCGGGTACTGGGAGGCTTGCCGTCCTTGCTGTAGGTGGCAAAGTAGAACAGGAGGAAGAGAGCAAGGTAGGAGCTGAGAACGAGAATACCGGCAAACGCGGCAAACGCCTCTCCCGCACAGTGGCCTGCGTGCGGCATCCAGGGAAAATGTGTCGAGGTAAAGTAGGTATAAGAGGCGAAATAGACGAAGCCCAAATCGATGACAAACTGTATGATTTGAAGACGGGTCACCCACTCCTTCCACCAAAGGCGGATGCCACGAGCACTCTGGAAGTAGTACCAGTACATGACCACATGAACCAGCAAGTTTAGCGTGATGGGGACCCAGGAAACAGCCGTGTTACCGATCAGCTGGGTGTAGCACAGAACGGCAGTCGCTCCATGGTGGTACGAGTGGAGGAATGTCAAAGGCTTTTTCTGGAGAAATAAGAATATGGTATCGAGAAGCTCGAGGTATTTAGTTAAATATGTCAACTGACGAAGTCTCAGCGTCTGCGCTATGCATGATCGGCTTAGATGTTTCACCTACGTAGTATAGAACAACGAGGTGGTTCGTCCAGCCACCGTCCCGATGACATATGGCGTAGAAAATGCCTTTTCGGAAGACGGTAGGAACAAGCTCCTCGATGTAAAGCGCGAGCAGAATGGCGCTAAGAACGGTGAGGTAGACGTTATGAATTCGAAATAGCGACCTCAATGGGAACGGTGCTCGGTTTCGCATCACTTCACGGCCTCCAAAGAGAATTGTATAATAAACAGCCACAAAGATCGATGTCTCCCTGAGTGTTGACATCGGTGTTGTCCCCAGAACAAACTGGAATTCATCGGCAGGGTAACCTGCGACCAGTTCGAAGGCCTTGCTGAAGTGCGGCCATAGGTGCACGCCAAAAGGTCTATCGAGAGATGGAGTGGGAAACAACTCTAGAGCCATGGCTCCAAGCAAGAGACAAGATTGAATGCTGTTCAGCACACCGAAGAGAGTGCGGCCAAATGAGTTGAGGAAAGAGTGGAACTAAAATTGTATTGCAATAGCTCCCCCTTTCACCCCCCCCCCTCATTCTTGGTTTCAGTTCGAAACAACCTGATTTTGAGTTGAGTGAATCAAGCCGTGTGTCTCAAGAAATTCGAAAGTCTAATTCCTTCGCTGATCATAACTTCCCTTCAACATTCGGCCCTAATAGAGTGCCAGCCGGGGTCCTCATGTTGGGATCCAACCAAACGAAGACCCCTGCAGGAAACGTTTCAAAAGACGTTTGATGTGTGTACTCAATCAATAATAGAGCTTATCTCTGCCACATTAGCTCAGACAATCTACATAACCCGGTTTTCGCATCTCCACGGCGATACCTATAGGGCATGTCGCTTGTCGCAACAGTGCTTCGGCAAAGCAATAACCCCTGGCTGCAGTATATCTAGGACGGAGCGGATCTTGGCACAACCGTTTAGCAGCTTCTCCCGAGTGTAAGATGTCGGGATTTAGCCGGCTCGTCCTGGAAGGTGTTTCCGACTGTATACTAGTAAGACTGACCCTGAGAGCCAACCACCCCGGCAACCGATGAGGTTACCTCAGCATTTTGCTCCTATCCAAGACAGCTATTCAACTTACTTTAAGTTTCCATTTGATAGGCGGCATGTTGACTTTGTAATAATCCAACCCTGCAGCCAAGGTTTTTGCATCCGACACGTCACGCTGCGGATGGTATAATATTAGGACTTAGTGCGCCGCTACTAGTAGTCTTGCAAGCGGCATGGGCTGATTGGGGAATTCGCCGCACGCCGTGAGAGCAGAATCAGGTTTTGCACTCCTTTGGACCCCTACCATCCGGGTATGACCTGTCCCTGCGCTCCCAGGCCTCCCACGATCAGGAATGTCTCGTTCGGGCTGAAGTGCCAACCCGACTTGGACTTTACCATGGTCTTGGCACACGGGTCAGAATCCAGTCCTTTCCCTTGGAGTTACAGCGTCACAGGATTTCGAGCTCGGCGAGCTCCAGAAAGAAAGTTCAAGCCCCACTAGCTTAATCCACGCCAATGCAACCTTATCGGACGTCCCCTTTGACTCTCTTAACCCCAGTATCTACACTGTTCGAGTTGTGGCAGAATAGGCCTGATGGGTATTATATGCTCTTATATATTTATCCTATTGGTTGTTCTCGGCCCTGGAATGCCCAAGCATGTTACTATTCTGACTTTCTTTATGCTTAGGACTCTACTTATCATACTGTATTTTATGTCTTTATGTGTATATAATACTATAACTCGCACAATGTATGATATTCGTACTCTTGAAATACTTCATGCTCCATTATCCTCCGCTCGGCGGAAGGCGGCACGATATGAACATTGCCGGGATAACTCTGCCCGGCTTATCATACGTTGACTGGAATTCACATCCTGTTAAGGGAGCCAGGAGCGTTGTCGTGAGTGTATGCTGCTTATGGCCCAAGCTTCTGGATGGGTCTGAAAAGGTGGAGTTGTATATTGGATATGTTGGTTGGGGTCAAGGCTCATCGAACTTGTTTGTCTGTTCGTCTCCAACCGCGTTATCGTGGGAATTACAAAAAGGCAGGTCAAAATGACATCTTTTCCTATTATCCCTTAAGAGTTTCCAACATAGGTAACATGATAAACATAAGGATTATATACAATATACAGCCGCCTGGAACCGAAGAAACTTTTTGGCGAATCATAAAAAGGATCAACAAGATGCCAATAAAGAAAAAGAAAGGGTCTCGAGTTCAAGCGGAGAAGAAGCCCGGCCCACGTCTCACCGGAAAGATTCCAGCAAAACCTCGGAGTTGCGGATTTGATCGTGCAGTTTCCTCCCAATGAGTACGGTCGTCTGATGCTACTGAGAGCGCCAATAGGCACCCGCTAGCGTTTTTAGAACCCGCCAGAAAACGCCGTGGATATCGACAGATTAAGAAAAGGTCAATGGGCACTTTGCAATTACAGGATGGGTTTGGTCACATCGTTGCATCATTCATGTCAACTTAGACGATGATCTTCCGCTTCCTCATCAGGGCCTTTCTCTCCTGCTCCTTGGCTAAAACGCAGAGTTAGTACGACTTCAAAAAAAAAAAAAAGAAATCTTGGAAGTTTAAGAAAACACACCTTCATCATAAACAAGGAACTCGTGCAGGGCGCTGCCAGCGGGCACCATGGGAAGCACAGGCACCTTACGGTCAGTAACGACCTCGAGCAGAGCGGGACCGTCGCTCTCGATCAGCCACTTCAGCTTCTCCTCCATCTCAGCAGGGTTGACCAGCTTATCAGCAGCAACCCCCATGGACTTCGCCAGAGGAACAAAGTCGGGGTTCTTCTGGTGGGTATGCGAGTAACGGTCCTCGTAGAAGAGGTTCTGCCATTGGGTCACCATACCCTGCTCCTCGTTGTTCAGCAGGAGGACCTTGACGCCAATGTTGAACTGAGCAGCAGTAGAAAGCTCGGTGAGGGTCATGTTGAAGGAGGCATCTCCATCAATGTCAACGACAAGGGCATCAGGGCAAGCAACCTTGGCGCCAATAGCCGCGGGAAGACCATAGCCCATAGTACCCAAACCACCAGAGGTGATCATACTACGGGGATGGCGCCAACGGAAGTGCTGGGCAGCCCACATCTGATGTTGACCGACACCGGTGGCGATCAGGGTACGGTCCTTCATGTGGGCGGTGAGGTCGCTGAGCTTCTCAATCAAAGTCTGGGGCTTGATGGGACCTTCCGCAGCCTGCTTCTCGTACAGAGAGAAAGGGAAGCGAGCCTTCCAGTCATTGATCTGGGCGAACCACTCGGGGCGCTCCGCCACCTTGTTGACATGGGGAAGAAGGTGGCTAATGTTCTCAGCACAGTCGCCCTCGACGGCCTCGTTGGCCTGAACGACCTTGTTGATGTTCTTGGGCATGATCTCAAAGTGTACAATACCACCACGGTTCTCGGATGCGGCCAGCTTGGCCTGAGGGGCGAACTTGGTGATGTTACCGGTGACACGGTCATCGAAACGGGCACCAACAGCAATGATCAAATCAGCCTCCTGCATAGCCATGTTGGCGTAGGCCGATCCGTGCATTCCCAGCATGTGCAGTGCCTTGGAGTCCAGCTCGTCGAAGCCACCCAGACCCTGCAGAGTCGTGGTGACCGGAATGCAGGCCTTGTCGGCCAATTCCTTCAAGAGCTTGGGGCCTTCAGGGTTAGCGAGAAGACCCTGTCCGACGTAAAGAACGGGCTTCTTGGCGACATTGACCAAACGAGCAACGCGACCGATGGTGCTTTCGAGCTGCTTCATGCCCAACTCACGGGCCGCAATGCTCGCCGCGCTCGGCAGAGAGGGAATGGTGCTGTTCATAGGGATAGGCTTGCGGAGGATACCGGCGGTGATATCTTTCGGAAGATCGACCAGGACGGGACCAGGGCGACCACTGGTTGCGATTTCAAAGGCCTCATGGATGCGGCGAGGAAGCTCGGCGACGGACTTCACCATAACGTTCCACTTCGTGCAAGCTCTCGAGATACCGATCACGTCGGCTTCCTGGAAAGAGTCGGTACCAATCGCGCTGGTCGGGACCTGACCGCAGAAAACAACCATCGGCGTGCCGTCCGAGAGGGCATCCTGCATGGGAGTAATGACATTAGTAGCACCGGGGCCGGAAGTGACGAGGACAACACCAGGCTTTCCTGAAGCTCGGGCATAACCTTCAGCCATGTGTCCAGCACCCTGCTCATGGCGCGGGAGAACGAAGTCGAAGTGCTTGGAGTTGTAGATAGCATCGAACACGGGAAGAATGGCACCGCCGGGGTAGCCAACTATGCATCGGTCAGTCTATTTATGCTCTATGGCCCATGTCACCCAGAACGTGAGGTGACTCACAGACGTGTTTGACACCCAGACGGAGCATCATCTCATGGAAAATTTGTCCACCACTGAGACCCACGAAGCTGTGATTTTGCAAAGCGCGTTAGACCATGTGTGATTCAACCCGAAGAGCTCCACGAAGTCCACGTACGAATCATCCAATTCAGGCACATTTCGGTTCTGCAGCGGCGACACTTCGCTGCGAGGAGGTTCCAGGTTGAAGGCGGGACTTGGGGCGGGACGAGACTTTCTATACCGGTGCACAGTTATGGTCAACAGGGCCCAATTGGTCCCTAAGGTCTCCAAGCAAACCGAGAGACTCACGTAGTAGTAGCTGTAGCAGTGCTCTGGGCTCGTTTCTGAGCAGAAAAGCGGTGGGGCGAGACGGCCGCGGTCACCGAGGAAGACGAGAAACACCTTCTTCCAGAGGTCATATACCTCTGGTAGTGCATGGCGCGCATGGCGCTTTTGGATGGTCTTAGAGGCATCATCTTTGCGGCGGATGACTGCCAGGCCAAACAGAAAAAGAAATGATTTTAGAATATGGGAAGGGGGAAAGAGACCACGGACCTGGTGTGAGTAAGAGGTCCTTAAGACCGGGCGGAAGAAGACTCAGACTCAGTGTCTGGTGCGGCTAATCCGTCCCTGGTTAGCGCCGGTAAGTCTCGAATAATTCCACCCCATTGATTGGTTCAATTCGCCTGCTAGCTCCGATCATCGGCGCCCATTTGGCAGGCCTGCCGTCACCTGATTGGTGAGAAGGGGGGCCTCAGGCAAGAGGGAAAAAAAAGAGGATCCTCGGTCACTCGAATTGGCACTAATCACGGAGTAGGGCCCGAACTCCGTACATTTGGATCTGGGGAAAGCAAACGGGAAATTTCAGAGAGCTTCAGGTTAAAAACAAAGATATAGGCAAGAATGACCACCATTTATTTCATGATGACGACGGTTACAACCACGATCCGGACTGGTACTTGGGGCAAACCTGCGAGAAATCTCCTTTTATTGCAGGTCTTGCATGAGCAGTCGTTGATTTCCCTGCCACTCACAGCCTGGCCGATTCCGGAGACGCACATGCAACCATGTTCGTATGAATCATCCGAAAAAGATTCCCTGAGGTAACAACAATCATAACCCTAATGGACCAACGATGACTCAGTTTTATATTCATGTATTTAATCCCTTTCTCCTTGGACCTGATCCGGATAGACAAGCAAAATCAAGCGAATATTAACAAAAGAGAGGGTGGGGGGGGGAAAAAAAAAAAAAAAAAAAGGAAGAATATAGTAGATATATATATGCAGGAACGACTACATCATCTCTGCACAGGAATTTGAAACCAGACTACAGTTGTACTACAACCTTCTAGTCTATGTTTCGTGTTTACAATGTTAGTCTGCATAGAAACGGTCCAAGCTCTCTTTGTGTATAGTAGCTTTTAATTTCTCTTCCCTTTAGACCCGAATTTTCACTATCGTTTTTGGAATAGCAGGGCGACCGCCAAGAAGATTAGCTAGAATCCCTCAACTGAGGGTCCTAAGGAATAAAAAATTGTAAGAATCAACAAGTTAGATCTTATAGGGATCAGAGAGACAATTTGCTCAAGGTTTGAAGAGCAAGAGTACTGAAGTATATACGTATATTGGCTGGAGTAGATCGAAGTAGTTGAATTACTACTACCCGAGTAGTTAGTGGTGGCCAGCAGAACCGTTTCGGATTACATCGTTCCCCCGTCCAGGCCTACTATGATCTAAACTTATGCAGCTGGATCTTTCTTCCCCGCTAATTTCCTTTCCATTCAGGTAATCGTCCATATTTCCAAATTACCTCCGTCGACTCCTGCTCTGTTCACGATGTGGAAACCAGTAGGTGTTCCCTTTCAGAACTCCCAGCCTCTGCCTATTCTACCTACAACAGATGAAATCCGCGCTTGCACCAATGCTCTGTGGGAGACCGAGGCCTCCAAGATTGTGGAGGTGAACGACGATATTGTTGTAAAATATGGAGGCTGTATAAATGTCTCAGAAGGCCAGGCTTTGGTTTACCTTGAACGACACGCCCCAGAAGTTCCGGCCCCTCGACTGTACGCGATGTACTATGATTCCGAGGAACTTTTCTTGATCATGCAACGCGTTCCCGGGGTGCAGCTGAAGTCCATTTGGCCATCATTGGCGCCCTCGGAGAAGGATGACCCTTATCGTAAAACTCCAAGTAATATTCGACACAATGCGAAAGGTCGAGTGTCCATGGCCCGACTTTTTCGGCGGCCTGGATGGGGGTGGCGTATATCACTATCTATTCTATAGCCAACATGGCGATGACAGATTCCTGGGCCCTTTCTCCGGCGAACCTGCCTTTGTTGCGGGCCTTGTCGGTAATTATAGAGCCTTGGTCGAACGCAATAAGCGGCCAGACTACAAGGCTCGCTTTTACGAAAAATACATCCCTCGCGTCCTTCAAGGCCACCGGCCCACATTGACGCATGGGGACGTTCAGCAGAAGAACATCATGGTCGTGGAGAATACAAGTCGCCAAAACGATCAAGGTGGGCGATCATTTGACGTCGTACTAGTCGATTGGGAGAATTCCGGTTGGTTCCCTGACTTCTGGGAATACTTTTGTGCATCGTGGCCCCTTACTTTCGATTGGGACGAAGATTGGTCCTGGCGACTCCAGGAGGTTGTTCAAGTATGGCCCGCCGAGATGGCCATAATGCAACTGATTGACAGGGATCTAGGCTTGTGAAGTACGTTGCTGTGTTTAGAATGAAATAGATGTATTTCCTCAACCAAAAAATAAAAAAATAAAAAAAAAATAAAAATATGAAAAGATAAAGATAAAAATAAAAATAAAAACAACAACAGCAACAGCAAAACAAAAGACCAGTTATCCTAATTCCAAATCTACTTACAAATTCTTCTCGACATAGTACTGTAACATTGACAACCCGATGCTTCAGAATGAGGTATGTAAAATTCCTTCGCTTCGCAACTTCGGAATCGCAAGCTGATGTGTCCATTTCATTACACTTCATGATTGGCCGTCGCTGTTCGCCTGGTCCGTAAAGATCCCCATTCTGCTTCGTCCAAGTAAGCTTGTTCCACTTACGTGGATCCTTGGTCCAGAAGTCAATTCCCTGCTGTTTGGTCGGTGTGGGCAAGGCTTCCAAGATACCCTCTATTCTCGGATAATCGGCTTTGCGGATCCATCCAATGTGTGTGGTTCTGTGAAAAAGCTTGGACTCTACAGGAGCGTAGTTGCGTTTCACTTCGAACCGCATGCCTTTTTGGGCGATGATGTCGCCGGTGACTTGGAATAGCGCTCCTCGGGGACTCTTACTGTCTGTTTGAACGAAGACACCCGTGTAGTATCGCTTGGGAGGGTCCAGAGGATCGTAGGCTACTGAGTCGAACTCTGGTGTGGAGACTTTGTACCACTCGTCCGCTCCGTGAGCGCGAGCAGGGGGTGTTGTTCTAGGTGTCGCCCTAGGTGCCGCTCTGGGTGCTATGGCCGTATCGCCCTTTATGGCGGCACCCTTAGTCCTTCCCCGAGAGCTGGGGGGAGGTGCTGCTCTATATGCTCTGTATGCTGTGGGGGGTGCTACGGCCGGTGCTGTTCTGGATGCCCCTCTGTAGGCCACCGCGGGTACTGTTCGAGGTGCTGCCGGCCTGGGTGCTGGAAGGGGGCTGCGCTGTGTGTTGCGGGATCCTTTCTTGTTGGACATGTTTGATATTTGGACAAGGATGTGAGAAGAGCGAAGCGTTAATGAAGGAAAACAGAGTATATCAGAGTGGTAAGACACTGAATAGTGAATATATGGTTGTTTCCGTCAGTATAAGACAATGAATAGTGATCTTTTCTTCACAATTTATCTCATACAATCCTTCCTTTTATCCATCAAAATCGATGTTTCTCATTATAGATGGAAGTGTATACTTGGACATGATCTCTGAACATGAGGCATTTCAAGTATCATCTCGCGCGCTCTAGCTAAGAAGTTAGCAAGCTAAAACAAAACAATTGGACAGCAATTCCTGAGAGGTCTCAAGGAGATCCCAAAAATAATCACAAGGCTTGGTTTAAATATGTAATGATGACCGTATCGTAATAGTGAATAAGGCTGAAATAAGCAATTGGACGACAGCGTCGGAGACAATCTACCCGTCACAGATCGCGGATCAGTATAGCCCGCGGGGCCGGTGGGTTTTAAACAGGGGTCGGGGGCGGGGCGTTACGCCGACAAGCGCTGGCGAAGTGACCATGTCAGTCTAGAATATTTTATAGTGCTTGTATGATTAGAAGTCATTGTTCGACTTTGCACACTTATCATTTTCTATTATGCATCTATGCGGCCCGGCTCAGTATCACTTGATTTTGACTCTGGTTTCTCTGACAATCTGTTTCCTGTGATATTCGGCGATTCCTGCGCAAGGGAAAAGTCCCGTCTGAGTATTATATGCTTTGTATTGATCGCTGATAATAGATAAAGCACGAGACTGTCATCGGTATAAGACAATTGCGCTTTCCTTTGCATTTGCCTGGATCGTAATGATTCTCTGGAGCATTACCCGATAATTGACTTCAGTTAAACCTAATCAGCTTCGCTATTGTAATACTGATACTGCCAGAGTAATTTCTTCTAACCAAAACTGTCGGGTATGAACACCTTACCAAGTTTTTAACCTTTTCAACCTTTTCTACTAGAAGATGGCAAATGAGCTGCCCAAAACGGCTGCCAGTTTGCCAATCCTTCTGCCACTCACCCGTGCCATTATGTCCACGTACCACCGACTCCCCGGGGGTGACCTACATAAACCTCATTCGTCCGTAGGGTACTATGTCTTTAAGTACTAGTACTACTTTCTAAAGCTCTGTCTATACTAACTTCAGCGAGTGACTTACTCGTCTCTTTGTGGCCATGAACCTTAGAAGAATTATTCAGTCTGTTCCCTGCAAACCCTCCCCCCTTCCGGCAAAGTTACTCCCTACAGTAGATCTGGTCGAGGAAGAGCACACACCCTATTATAAGCCTCAGCACTTTTATCCTGTACGTCTTTATGAGATCCTCAACAGCCGATACCAAATCGCCGCCAAAATAGGCTGGGGAGCAAGTTCGACAGTATGGCTAGCACGCGATCTCCACCAGTATGCGAAGATCATCTAATAATTTATGCAAGCCGTGTCTCACAATGTCATAGGTGGCGATGGCTTCCGCCCCGATATGTGGCCATCAAAGTTAACGCAAGCAATTATGCATCTCAAGAGTCTGCAGAGAAGGAGCTGCGTATTACTGAGGATATAACCAAAGCAAACCCCCAGCACCCGGGCCGCAACTTTGTCGCCACCTTATTAGATTCGTTTCGTGTTGCTAGCCCGGGCGGCACTCATATTTGCATGGTCTTCGATGCGCTTTGCGAACCCCTATGGATGCTGAAGCGTCGTTTCGAAGGAAACACCATCCCTCTCGACGTCTTGAAATCGGTGTCTAAACTCATACTAGAAGGGCTACGGTACCTTCACACCGAATGCCACATTATCCACACAGGTAACTAGTCATTCAACCGACCCACTCCCAGGATCGGTCATAGCTAACGGACAAACAAGATCTCAAGTCCGATAACATCTTACTGGCCCTACGCAACCCGTCTATCCTGGACTCGGCCGCACAAGACGAGATGGATTATCCCTCTCCACGGAAACAACTAGACGATCGGGACATATACTTATCCCGAAATTACTGGGGACTGTTACCCAACGAACTGGGCAGATCGGTAATAACTGACTTTGGGCTTGCCGTGCGCGGTGACGGCCCCCCGAACAGCCACCCCATCCAACCAGAGGGCTACCGGGCCCCGGAAGTGTGTCTCGGGGGCGATTGGAGCTACAGTGCTGACATTTGGAACTTGGGAGTTATGGTAAATCACCTCATTATCATAATCCTGAACACTACTAATAATCTATCAGCTTTGGGACCTGTTCTATGGCCGCGGGCCCTTCGACACACCACCGGACTCGCGCGGCTCAGGCTCTGCAGACGCAGCCCATCTGGGCCAGATCATTTCTCTCCTGGGGCCCCCTCCACCTGATCTTCTCGGCCGGGGAACAGAAACATCTCGGTATTTTGATGCTAAAGGTATGATCGGTGTGCCCTAACTAGACGCCGCTGACTGATTTGATAGGACAATTCAAATTCCCCGAGCTTATTGGACAAAAGGACCTGGTGTCCATGGCTAAAAAAATTGAGGATGACGACGGAATGCTCCGGTTTGTAGACTTTATTTCTAGAATGCTGCGCTGGAGGCCCGAGGACCGGACCACGGCGGAGGACCTGCTTTCCCATCCATGGCTTCCATAAGATTTGTATTATTATATAATATCTTTCATAGCGATATCTGTTAAAGATTATCACTATCTCCTTTAGTATCAGTGGCAAGGCCTGAGATGAGTTTAACAGGGAATGGATAATACCCCGTTCATGATTATGAACTCTGCTACACATACACTTTTAATTTCTAGTCCCTTCCATCCGTCAACACCAGCAAAGTATGTCAGAGCTCAGTCAGAATACAAATCTAGAACGAAAAGCATCGAAAGTTGATGCGTGCGCCTGGAGCCCTTTCCTGAATGCCCGTTTGCACTTTTTTTCCTCCACGGATATTGACGTCTACTCAGCGATGTGCTTCTATCATATTGCTGTATATTAATCTTTCGTTCTCTTTTTTCTTTTTGGCTAGGCCTAGTGTAATCAAAGGGGTGTATTCCCTGGAAACAGAAGAAGTGGGCAGGTGTGATGTGGTGGGGGCGGTGCGCCGTCCCAGTGTGTTTGAAAATTCAACAGCCTGTTTACCTGGGTAGACGCGAAGGAGCGTCGGTTAATTTCATCAGACTCGGTACAGTCGGCTCAACGCGATCGTCTACAGAAGCATTGAGCCGGGGATTCAGACCGCATGGGTGCGAACATCGTGTTACAGTTGGGAAGGAGCGAAAACGAAAGCGCCATATAGAGTAGAGTACCAAAAAAGCAAAGAGGAAAGCTTGTTTTCAGAAGACAACAACGGTGTGGTCGGCTATAAAAAGACCACTTTTCGGGGGGTAATAACGCGGCAGGCCGAGAGAGTCGGGAGAAATGTGGGGTTCGGTTGAAAAAGCTGGAGACTCGGAGTGCCGGTGAGAGCGGATTTCGTGGTTTCTCCAGGCACGGGATCGCGTGGGCGGCGTTCTTAGTGCATGAACGGATTCCCCATTCATTCCGGGCGGCCAATCACTCCCCCCCCGGAGCTGGAGTCGCAGGGTTCTTGTCTCGATTGCGGGGCATTTCCTCCGTTCAATTTTCCCACCCCTCTTATGATCGCTTCTTTTTTTTTTCTTCTTCTCTTTCTTTTCTTATAGTATCACGTTGTTTTAATTAAATACCCCTCCTCCCCTCGTCTTTTTTCCTCCCTGCTTCTTTTATCCTGTCGTTCCTTTACTTTCCCTTCCTATTCAACTCGACCAAGCATTCTCCCCCCCCCGCCATGGCTACAACCCCGCAAGAACTCGTCCCCCAGACGGAGAACATCGCTGAGGTCTATGCCACAGACGATGCCTCGGTCACCTCCGTTGCGCCCGAGCACCAGACTCGTTTCAACGGTCTGATCTCCAAATTCAACCAACTGTACAACCATCGCCCCGACTTTGTCTCCCGCAGTCCTGGCCGTGTCAATATCATCGGCGAGCACATTGACTACAACCTGTACGATGTGCTTCCGACGGCGGTCAGCGTCGACGTCATCATGGCCGTGAAGGTGGTGCCCTCCACCGGAGAGCCATTTGTGAAGATCGCCAACGTCCAGCCAGAGAAATTCCCCTCTCGCGAATTCACAGTCCCGCGCGACACTGACATCGAGATCGATCCGAAGCAGCACGAATGGGTCAACTACTTCCGAGCGGGACTCTTGGGCGCCTTGAAGTTCTTGCGCAAAACCAAGCAAGACGGCTCCTTTGTGCCCGCCAGCGTGGAAGTTCTTGTCGATGGTAATGTGCCCCCCGGCGGTGGAATCTCCAGCAGCGCGGCTTTCGTGTGCTCGAGCGCGCTGGCCGTCATGAAAGCGAACAACCACAACGTCTCCAAGCAAGATCTGCTTGACCTGGCCGTGGTCTCGGAGCGTGCTGTGGGTGTGTACTCTGGCGGGTAAGTACCGAGAACTCCCTCCCTCCTTCTGGGCTCCCATCCTTCACTTTCACTTCTTCTTCTTCTTCTTCTTCTTCTCCTCACACGCCCACAGTATGGACCAAGCAGCCTCCATCTTCTCCCGTCGCGGCTACCTGCTCTACACCCAGTTCTACCCCAACTTCTCCGTCCAGCATGTCCCCATCCCCAAGGCCGCCGAAGAGATCACCTTCCTCATGGCCCAGAGCTTCGTCACCTCCAACAAGGCCGAGACCGCGCCCCGCCACTACAACCTGCGCGTCGCCGAATGCACCCTGGCCGCCGTGGTCCTGGCCGCTCAGCACGGCCTGACCCTCCCCAAGGACAACAGCTCGCTGGGCTACAGTCTCCGGAACTTCCACGAAGAGCTCATGCGCAAGGAAGGCCGTCTCGGCGACCCGCTCGAGTACCAGATCGACTCCGTCATCCAGACCACCATGGAGCTGCTCGCCCAGGAACAAGGCTACACCCGCGAGGAGATCGCCACGCTGCTCGGCATCACGGTCGCCGACCTCGAAGCCAAATACCTCTCTTCGTTCCCCGTCCAGGCCGAGCGCTTCCTCCTGCGCCAGCGTGCGCTGCACTGCTTCACCGAGGCCCGTCGCGTGCTCGACTTCAAGGCCTGCCTCGCCAAGGCGGCCACCCTCGATGAGCGGCGCATCGCGTACCTCGGACAGCTGCTGAACGAGTCCCAGGCTTCCTGCCGTACTCAGTATGAGTGCAGCGCGCCCGAGGTCGACGATATCTGTGCTATTGCCCGTCGGGCGGGCACCTGGGGTAGTCGTCTTACCGGTGCGGGATGGGGTGGCTGCACGGTGCATATGCTGCCACAGTCCAAGGTCGAGGCGGTTATCAAGGCTCTGAAGGAGGAGTACTACTTGAAGAAGTTCCCGGAGATCAGCGAGGAGAAGCTGGCCCAGGCGATGGTTATCAGCAAGCCTTCGAACGGTTCCTTTGTGTATGTGCTCTCTTTTCCGTTGTGAACGATGTGGAGTGTGCGCGTCTTGCTAACTTTGCCTGTCTAATAGGGTTACTGGAGAGGCCATTGCTCAAGTCAATGTCTAAACCTAAACTTAAGGGAAAATAATTTATAAAAAAAAAAAAAAACAAATTTGGAAGAAAAAGGGTGCGGGATGGATGAATTTGAATTCTGAATTAAATATTGTATATAGTCTCCAATCCGTTCCTGAAATAGCATTGGCGCTAGCGTCAGATATGCAGACATTACCAGCAGCTTAAGGCCGTGTAGACGGTTACCTTGGGAAAGTCTAGTCTTCCCCCGTCTCGTGAGAGATTTTATCTTCTCATTATTTTTTTTTTTGTTACCTCCGCCGAGATGCTCACATGGTGTATTGCGCGCCGACTCGCTCGACTCGTGTAGGTCCCACTTATCGCCGAGTCTTCTGGTCTTCTCCATGACTCTGCTGGTATTCCGGATAATACGCGACTCCGAGAACGACCAGAATGCTCTTCCGTTCCACACGCAGAACCGACGGAAACTGGGTAGTCATCGAGAGCCAGACGGGGCGGCGAAGCCGTCAAGTGTTAGCGTGCGACTGCCAACATGAAGTCTGATTCATGGTTTCATGCACACGATTCAGGACTTCTTCTTGGCGGCCGCCTTGGAAAAGAAGTCGCTCATCTTCTTCATTCCCGTGGTGTTCACCTTCTTCAAGTCCCGGACTCCGCGAGACTCTCCCACCTTCTTTTTCTTCTCTTCTTCTTCCTTGCGGCGCTTCTTCTCCGCCCGGGACTCGGCGCCTTCATCGTCATCGACATCTCGCTTCCGGCTGAAGTCGCCCAAGGACCGGGACGCGAGCGCCTCTGCGCGAAGCTCCGCTACATGCTTGAGATGATCATGCATCGGCTTGAAGTCTATAGGGCTCGCGGAGCCGGAGAGCAGCTCGTCGACCTTGGCACGCAGAGCCGCAGACAGGTAGGAATCCTTCATGAAGGTTAGAGCCGTGGAGATCCTCAGGAGACGAGCCACATCGTCCGAAGCAGCTGGTGCATTTGGTGGCACTTCTGTAGCAGGGGTGGATACGTCGGAGGGTGTAGGGACCGACGTCGAGCTTGCTGTTGTTGCTGGTGTCTCTTTGTCGTCCTGTGGCGTTGCTTCGCCTTCGGTAGTATTGGAGGACGCCGCATTGGTCGAAGAATCCTCTCGCTTGACAGACATCAACGGCGTAGACAGCGCTTGGCGGATAAAGCGGTCTTCCATGCTGGGGGGAAGTCCCAGTGCGACCATCCGCTCTGCTTTGGCAATCAATTCCTGGAGAAATTTCGCCTCACTGAATCGGAGCATTTTCTCGTCCCCTGCCTCCACCGAATCGCAAATCGCCTCCGCTCGCGCCTGCAGGACATGCCTGAACGATTCATCGTAGAGAACATGCCGGAAGTGCTTGGGTAGGTCGTCCTGCGAGTCGATGACGTCGTCCAGGGGTTGGAAGAGGCCTTTCGCCTGGGACGAAGTCGGGCATAGAAGGGGAATCAAGAAGAAGAGCACATCTATGGGCGTCGCAATCAACAATTGCGCAGTCTTCGCGATGGTCGCATTTCCGGGCCGTGAATGTTTCCCATCCGGTGATGTCGGACTGGTCTCCGCCTTGGGGGTAAAAAGGACACTTCGGGGGGACTGCGATGAAGATGCAACCACGGTGAATTCGTAGATTCCCTGCTTTGGGCAAAAGTAATAGCGCGTGAGTTCTCCGGTCTGGGGATTGGGCAATTGGAGGAAGCGAGCTTGGTCGCTGGCGGAAGCAGGGAGGATGAATGTCTTGCCGGGTTTCTCGGTCGTCAGCGGCGGTTTGGAGGGTTGATCCGGCTTGGATTGCTCGGACGCAGGAGCCGAGGAGCGAGTGCGCATGGTGAAGGAGGAGGAGGAGGAGGAGGAGGAGGAGGAGGAAGTGGTGGTGGTGGTGGATGG